GACGTTCAGCTGGAGGTGGTTGTCTTGGAGGGGGTTGTTTTAGCTAGTTGAGCTCAACAAAAATGGAGGAAACTCGGGAAGAGGTTAACGTCAGAAACTTTTGCAGAAACTGGAGGAACTGCTGCAACTATGTTTTCCAGAACAAATTTATGTTTGCGAGTTTGGCGGCTGTTGTCCTCGGTGAGTTACACTTGATTTGAGACTGTTAACATGCTCTAGCTAACTTTCTTTAAAACAATATGGTAGTTAATTAGGACTTGTGAAACACAGTTAACAAAACAACCACAAAGTCATTTTTAATATTTGTGCTTTAACAACATTAATTTATTAAACCGATTTTCTAATACAAAATGAAGATTGTTTATACAGGTAACCTCAACAACTAAACAGGCCTTTTTGCTGCCTACACCTTTGGTTGCTGGGCTAATCAAGCCTCCCTGTGTTAGCTGGGCCTCCTAGCACTGCTATTTCTGATATATTATTATTATTATTATTATTATTATTATTATTATTATTATTATTATTATTATTATTATTTGCACCCCCAGAGTTTAAAGGGTGCCTTGAGATTTTTTCCAGTTTTGTAACATGCTTATAACAAACTACGGTAACTGCTAGCAGTGCTGAGAGTTAGCCATAAAATAACTGTGGGTGTAACAGCACCATCCACTGGACCTGATCTATGTGACCTCAGATCTTATCAACAGGCATGGACACTGAACAGATCCTCCACACACATGGGATGTTTTTTTTGGGGGTTTTTTGTCATCAACAATTTTTATTTATTTCATTTTAAACTTCAATAACAGAACTTAAGAATAACTACATAAATAAATAGTTTAAAAAAAACATGGGATGTTTTTTATCTCTTTATTTATGAAGTATACACGGAAGTACAACAACAATATAACAATCCAAAACAGATCTACACTACAGACATATCTAAAGTTTACTAGGCATAATCATCTTTACCTTAAATAAAATATTGGAGGTTGAAGAAATGGGTTAAAAAAATACAAATGAGAAAATAAGAGTAAAATTTGGTAAATAAAGCTTGAACACTAACAAGATGTACAAAACAAAGGCTGGTTCATTCTTTTAAAAAAGTTTTATAGTTGTGGAATGGACAGTGTCATATAATCTGCTCCTCCTGTTGAGCACAGTGTATCAGCAGCAGGTTAATTCAGTGGAGAATATTCATCTTCAACTAGTATGTAGGAAACAGATAAATGACAACACACATCCCCTACAAGGTGTCTTTTTAACCAACAATTATGAATTGTATTATGTAAGTCATGTATAAGTATGTATAAGTCATTAGTACATTTTTCAGTAAAGAAGTAAATGTTTGTAATCAAAAAAAACCCAACAAATGTTGGCAATGTGTTTGATTTATATTCCATATTCTATGGTATTGTTATGTTTTTGGCTCTTGTTTTG